CCCCAAAACCCCAAAACCCCAAAACCCCAAAACCCCAAAACCCCAAAACCCCATTTTTGCTAGTTTTTATAGAAAATTATTTTAAATATGAGTAGCGTTGATCGAGACTTGTTCAACTCACAAATTGAGCCACCCACATTCGTGATAGCGATGAATGGGGACTCTAAAGAGCCTGAGAAAGAAGAGAATGAGTTCATAAAGAAAATTGAGAATCAATCAAACGCTGATTTTAATTATGAAGTGGGCTATCCTTCAAATTTTCCTGCTTATATGACGGAAAATGGAAGATTTCCCACAATGAAAATGGACACTCAGTATGATACTTTAAATAAAGAAGCTGAAAGATTACACTTACTTGCAAGACAGAAAGAAAAAGAAAGAATGATGTATCAGAACGGTAGAAACTGTGGATATAGCAGTTCTTACCCTAACCAGTATCAAGAACAATATTTTGAGCAAAGAGCACACCAGAAAGAGAGGGAGAAGATGAATGAAAAGAATACAACTCAAGAACCAACCCTAACTCCTGAACGCTTCATTCAACAGATTAGTTCAGACTGGAGTGCAGTACCTGATAAAAGAAAGGATAAGATCTTGAAGTCCTATATGGCAAAATTTCTTCCCTATCAAGTAGTTGAAGCATACAAAGGAAGTACTATTGACAAACCTTTCTGGGATTGGTGATTCAGTCTTTTCCCAATAAACTCAAACTCTCAGACAAGGTTCAAGGATTACAACGAAGTGTGGATAGTGTTCTTATTATTCAAAAAGAAGTTCTGGCTTCAATTCAGCAAGTGGTTCTATAATAGACGCAGAAAAATACTTGAGGATGCCAAAACAGACCATATGCGTACACGATTAGAACCTTGAGACAAATTCTTAGCGACTGTTATAGAGTATACTAAGGGAAGATCATTCAAGAGGACAGAGGATCTGTATGTAGCATTCCTTACCTTAATGGCTAAGAACTGTATTAGTAAGGAGGACATGATCGATGACATAACTAAAGAGCTAGAAGAAGTGGATGAAACCATCCCTGAGTCTTATAAGAATATAAATAAAAGATTCTTTACTTCAAAATAAAGAGAATATTGAGTTTTTCTGGCAAAACCATTTAAAGTTCTTCCAACAAGACTATTATGTCTTTGAAGGAATAGAATCTGTGGAGCAGCATAAAGAACTTCCAGGTAAATTTCAGCATAACTCTATAGAAATCAGAGAGCCTTCTGAAAATGAGCAGGTAGAAATATTTTGTTAAAACATAGGATCAAGAAGAAAATAAAGAAGTACAGAATCATCATGATGACGAACAGAAGAGATTAGTCCAGGAGGCTCTTAATACATGTAACCAGAGATCTCTGGAGATGCATAAAAGAGTTAAGGAATTACTTGATAAAGAGAAGGAATTCTTGGATAACCTCCCCTCAGAAATCATCAAAAGTCTCAAACCAGCAGAAGACCAGAACATCCGGTATGTGTTTACTTCTAATACTTCAGAATGAGTGAAGACTTCCTCTCAAGGGTGATCTCAGAGGCCAGGCATAAATGGATTGGAGATTCTGAGAATCCTGGAGCCTAATCCCTCAACAATTTCAGTATTGATCTATTCTCAATTTATGGAGATCAATTAGGGGTTTTGGGGTTTTGGGGTTTTGGGGTTTTGGGG